AAGCCAGAAACCAGGTTTACAGTGACTCCTTTCCCAGAAGCAACACCTACCACCCATTAGAAAGCTGGGGTCCAGCAGAACCAATATCAAGAGTTCTGTGCCTTCAGTTTTTTTTTCAGACACTGGCTTAGGGTACTAAGGTCTACCTTGAGACCTTACATACTTTTCTTATGTTTTCCACAGTTCTCCCAAACCCCTCATCCCCGTTCCCTGATATATCACCATACCCTAAAAATAAATCAAGGCTAACCCAGGGTGCAGAATCCCCATTATTCCCTATTTCTGCAACTGGACCCCCAGATGTGCAGCAATTCATTAGAATGTATCTTATTATTTTTGCCCCATCACCAAGTGGCTAACAGTCGGCATGTCCCTGACATGAAGGCTGAGCCTCTTTCCTGCCCAGTGTCGCCCCTGGCATATTATCATAGGTTGCTAAACTCCAGACCTGGAGTTGCACTGGACTTGACAAAGCCAGCTTGAACAAAGTGATCACAGTGTCCTGTAGAAGTCACATGATCAATGGAGTCAATGGATCTCCAAAACTCAAGAGCTCCCCAAAGTCTTGATTGTAATGGACAGGAGGTCAGGACTGACTAAACAACTTGCTACAGGGTTATAGGTTATATAGCAACCTCCAAATTGCCTGGTTTGAAAATACATCTCAGGGTACCTTTCTCAAAATCAGTTTTGCAGCTCCAAGAGACTCCCTGAAGCAGGAGAGTTTGTAAAGAGTAGATGAACTTCTGCACAGCTGTGGACTCCCGTAAGCTCGGGCTCATTGTCTGTGCAGCCCTGCATCCTCTACAGGGGATGCTGTACAAGAAGCCTTTTTTGTAAAGGCCTTAGTCATATTCATGAGGCTTTAATCTGTGAGTGCTCAAGCCCTCAAGACTGTCACACTGTCACCATCTGAATTTTTGGAGGGGCACGTTCAAATCGCAGCCCCCTCAAAGCCTTTCTGACCGTCAGAATTTGACTCCATGGTACCCTAATTTGAGCATTTTGGCGTGGGAACTCTTTTGCCATGCCACTAACCCTGCAGTAGCTACAAGAAGGAGAGCGACAGAAGAGCTGTATGGCGACAACAGACACAAAGGGCTCGTGTAGGGGTCCCGCTGTCACATATTTGGATTGCAGAAGATTTAGGAAGGTAAATCTCTTTGTGAAACGGTGCCACACATATCCACGACTCTCTTAAAGAAACGTGAAATCAAAGACACATGCCAATGGCATGCCAGTGTGCGTATCTCCCTCTGACAGAATAAGTACTAAAATGTAGAGAAACAAGGGGATGAACAGTTAGACATTCTGAGGCAGGGCCTTGATGTTCACTTTTATCCCAAATGCCGCAAAAAAGGAATGCTATTAAATGAGAATCCAACATAAACGTCAGTGCCTATGAGACTCCCTGAACGCAGAGATAACTACCGCTCCCCTTAGGTTTTAGAGAGAAATAGTAAGTCCTGCAGACAACGCACTATGTAGGCAGACGTGTGCTGTTCTCCTCCTGCCAGCTCTACAGAAGTCCAGAGCTGTCAGAGCAACACCAGATGTCCTAAGTGTTAAACCTCAATTTCTCCTTTTGTTGGGTAGGTGATTTTGCCTTCAGTCACCTGTCCAATTGATGGTGGAGTTTTCTTCCATCTGCATCTAAGAAGGGCCTTGGCAGACCTGCACAGCAAGTTTCTTATTGACAGAGGAGCAAGCTATTTCTCAAGGATCCTAAGGGTCTCATTGTAGACCATACAGAGCCTCATGCTTCAGTCACCTGCCTCACCTTAGGTTTTACACCACAGCTACCTGCAAGCATTCCGTCCTATAGGGCTTTATTATTTCTTTAAACACTGTTACCGTATGAACATGAAATGTCCCCATGGCCTCGTTTGTCTGAATACTTAGTCCCCAGTGAGTGGTGCTGTCTTTGGAAGGTTGTGGAGCCTTTAGGACACAGAGTCAGGCTGGAAGCAGGGGGTAGTTGGGGGAGGGCCTTAAGACTTTACAGCCTGAGCCTGCTTCCTGAATGCTCTGTGCTTCTTGTCCACTAATATGTGATCTGAGGAGCATCCACCTCCAGCGGATCTACCTCCCACCAAGCTTCTTCCTCCAGGGTAGACTATATTCTCTAAAAACTTGCAAGCCCAAATAAACCCACAAGTTGCTTCTTGTAAAGTATCTGGTCATAGCAATAGGAGAAGAAACTAGTATACCCACAAGGAGCCCCATCCTGGCCTTCCTAGTCCAGCAGCAGGCAGATTTGCTGACTTCATTTAAAATCCCCTGAGCACACACAACATTCCTGCTTAACTTAATTTCCCATGCAGTTTTGCTAAATGACTCCAACTTTGGACCACCAAAGTATACATCAGACAAAATCATATTCTCTCCAGTTATGTTTAGAAATGCAAATAGGTTGTTTAAAATATATTACTCCCAGCGAAGTTCTTATTACTGCTCAAACTCAGTGTAGAGAACAGATCTCAAGTGGGCTTTCCCATTTGCTTCTCTCATTCTGAATAGGTGAGGATGAAGGAAAAGTGAGCCAGGATGGAGAAGATCAAGTATGATTCAGTCCACCATGGACAACTCCAGCTTATTCCTGCAGTGACAGGAATGTCGCTCAGTTCTGAGGCAACACTCTTCAATTTCTTCCTTGTGTTGAACTTAAATTCTACTTCCTGCATCTTCCTCTGACTTGTAGACCCTTCCCAAATGCCTCACTTCCTATGACCATCAAAGATGGCCCCCATATTGCTTCGCTGTAGATAACAATTTAAAAATTAAATAACCTGAGCTCTTTATAACTATCAGTTACACACGAACATATTTAAAGCATTGTCTTCATTTATATAACGCATGAGAATAACTGTCTAGACTTATACCAAATTCAGAAGCTACATGTGAACTGGTCGCCCTGGGAATATCATTTGTGTTTTATACATGGACCCAACACCAGGCAGTTTGGGCAAGAGGACCCCTAACAGATAGCCAGTCAGGTATCAGAGCAAACAAACCGGGGTTAGTGCCCCTGCTGGCTGAGAAAGCCTGCCTTTACATAGCAAGACCAGATAAAGCAAGGCAGATGGAGATTTCAAAAACGAAGGCAGATTGATAATCAAAAGGGCAAACTTTCCAAGCTGCAGGCATTGATTTGTAATCAAGCTCTTTTCAGATTACTTTGTATGTGGGCAGCAATCTATAGCGTACTCAAGGGAGCGTGGCAGAACAGTGGTTTCTTTAAAATGAGGTTTAATGATCCCCCCGAGGGTCAGCGAATAAAATAATCTATGTAGAAGCAGCTCATAAGCTATGAAGCATCATCAAATGCGATGCTGCCTCGTCCCAACCTGAACTCCTCCTGAATGCCAGCATGTGCTTATCAGCACACTTGTTTGTGGCTAGACATGCCCTGTCTTTTTTGTATCTCAGATATATGAGTTACAAAAATCCTCTCAGCAAAAGATGGATCATGTAAATGATTTATTTACGTGGCTCTAAGTATATGAAAAATGATTCTATATTAAAATTTCATGAAGTCATGGCTCAAATATAAAATAAAAAAAAACCTCAAGATATCCAAGTGCATAAAGAAAACAAGAAAAATAGCAGAGGGTTGTGTGTGTGTGTGTGTGCATGCGTGTGTGCACGAGTGCATGCATATGTGCATACTCACATGCATGGGTGCTCTAATATGTGTAGGTGCATGTATGCATGCATGTAGAAGCCAGGGTCTTTCATAGGCCTGGAATGTGCCAAGCAGTCTCGGCCAGCTGACTAGTGAGCCTCAGTTACATTTCTGTCTCTGTCTTTCCAGAACTGGGATTATAGGTGTGCACTGCCACACCTGGCTTTGTGCGTGGTGGTGAGGGGTCCTGAAGGATTGAACTTGGCTCCTTACACTTCCACTGCAAACACTTGACCATTTTGGCTGTCACCCTGCCTGGGAGAAGTTCTGACTGATGAGAAACTGTCTTTGCTGGGGGCAATGGTATGGTCTCCCGACAGAAAAGGTGACAGGTAAGAAGACACGGCTCTATTTCTGGCCATGCTGAAGAAGATTCTATCCAGAGGTCAAACAATGGAACTACATGCCCTCAAAGATCAATTTAGTAGAAGTTTTGGAACCAGTAATAATGCATCAATTAACAAGATACCAACGAGTCTTCCAAGGAGGTAAGGAGAATGTCTCCTAAAGAATCAGACACAGACACAATCAGTCCCAGAGCGACTGGCACCCATGAAAAGAGTCAGCCGCTCCTCCCATTTCCCTCAGCTATGTCCGACACGCAACACTGCAATTAGGGATGTACACTCAAGGCTCAGTCTTCTCGGGTTCAAATCCTGCCTCTGTCTCCTGGGATCTGTAATACCAGCCTTCCCCTTGATCACCATGTACTTCCTTTCCCTTATGTCCTGACTGGTTCTGCTGAACACACAGGGTACATGCAACATGTCCCCTACAGGGTCTGCACATGTGAATGCTTTACTCTGTCCTTTCCTCTGGGTCTCCTAGCACAGCCCAGTTCCAAGAAGTGTCTAGGGTAAAAGACACAATGAAATTACTTGTATCTTCCTTTAGCGTTTGAGAGTTTTATATCTATGCTTTGTCTTTTTTTCTTTTGTGTTTTGGGGGTGTATGATAATGTGTACATGAGAGTTTGCATGTGGAAACCAGAGGATGACAATGGGTGTCTTCCTCGATTGTTCACCACCTGATTTTTTCATGCAAGGTCTTTTACTAAAACTGTGAGCTGCCTTTCTGGGAGTCCTCATGCTTTCCAGACAAGTGCTTTACCTTCCCAAGCATGAAGTTTTACCTTCTTCTAACACAGAACAGCTAATTGTATTTAGTGCAATTTCCAAGAGAAAGAGGGGAGAAAAAAGTGCGCCTGAAAAAGCAAACTGGTGTCTCCTTCATAAAACTAGCCACCAGTCATCCTAGAGAGGAAGTGTTTTCTCAATCCCTGCTCTGCAACCCCAAAATCTCAAAGCATGCCAACCTTCTATGAAGTCCGCAGCCGTGTAAGGACGCTGGTGTGGGCTGCTCTCCACGGGGCTGTTCAGACTCTCCAGGGCCGATTCGACCGCTTCCACCAACTCATCGCGCTTGTCCTTCCTGACCGGCTTCTCCTCAGGGTGGCGAGTCAGGCCAGTCTCCAACTGGTACACTTTCTGCAGGGTGAAGCTATCGAAAGGCACGGCAGCATACTCGGTGGCCAGCTTAACACCTGCATGGACCTCGGCCTTGTCCACCTGCCCGCGCAGGAAGGCCAGCAGATCGGGCTGGGCTTTGGGTGCAGGGTCCCAGCCTGAGCGCAGGCTGGTAGCATCGCTGGCCTGGTCCTGCCCGCTGCGGAGCTGCTCACTGCGTGCCTGCAGTTCATCCTTGAGCTGCGCGATCTGTCGCTTAAGGCTATTCACGTAGTTGCGATGCTGTTCCTCACGCTCTTGCAGCACAGCTTGGTAGCCATCTTTGCCCGTGGGGCCATTGGCCCTGGGCAGTCCCAACTGCTCCTGGTCGCCTTTTGGGGTGCAGGCTAACATGTAGAGGACAGAGATGGCACAGCAGAGCAGAACCAGCAGAATCACTACCCGAGAAATCCACCCCAGCAGCCCACGACGGACCATCCTCATTCAGGTGCAGGCCATGCGTCCAGCGTGTGCAGCATCCCAGGGCGCCGGGAAGGCCCCACACAAGGGCTTTCCTGGTTAGACCTCGGTGCCTCTGAAGTCCCCTGGACCAATTTCATCCATTTCCTTCTAGAAGGCGGCCTGCCTTTGGAAGTCAGCCATTATGTAAGACCGCTCTCCTGCTTCCAAAAGAAGATCTTCTAGGCAGAAACAATCGATTAAGTGGATCCTCCAAGTTCTTTCATTTCCTCCCATCATAGCCTTCCTGCTGTGCCGAAGATGAGGGGGTCCTGAGGAGACACAAAAGACAGGGGCCCTTAGTGTTTCCATTCACACTGGCACTTCGAGTCAGGACCCCTTTTCACCTGATCCAAAGAATATAGGTATACAAAATAATTACCCAAGTCAAATATTTAGCTACGACAACTCATACATTTATTTTAACACAATTCTTTCATATTTATATAATTTCAACATTTATGGCTGAGTAAGTAAATGTGCATATTACTGAGGGGGCTGCGGTTACCTGACATAATACAACCTCGGCTGAGTATCTGATCCTGCAGGATGGGAGCTCACCTTCCTCATTTTGCAGAATTGATTGGTATTTTGATTCTGTAATCACTGATGCTAAGAAAAGCACTTTGCATAAATATGTAATGAAAAACAGTAGACGTCCATTTAAAGAGTTTTCAGAAATTATTGAAAACGCTGCCCTGATCCCAAGTCAACATTTGTTTGGCCATTATTTTATGGAGCCCTAGTGGAAAGCTCACATAGAAATTATTTAAAACAATTATTTCAACACAATCAAATCCAAGATACACTAATTTGATACATTCTGAGGAACAACAGAAGGAAAATACCAGAAGTCTTTGTCTACTATAATCAAGCCATTATGTGTCCACAAGAGTGGAAAATTTTGCATATGCAATAATAAATACACTGCCTTTCACAACATCACTCTGGGCTGAGGTGTTCACTTTTGGTGTGTGGTGCAACAGTCCGTGCGGTGCAAAGTGAGCATGCTTTATCTTGAGAATAAAGGCTTCCACAAAGTCTCCCAGTGCAGCGTGGGTGAGTACTGCTGGAAACACGTGGATTCCCTGGGCATTTGACTTCTAAGTAATTTTGGTCACTGCATGTTCAGAAACCTTACAGTTGTTGAGATTTTCATAAACCCCATATTCAGTTACATGAAGTGCCTTAAGACACTGAGGGCTCATTCACTACGGCAATCAATAGCCAATTGGTTGACTATTTATGGAAGATTTATAGAATTTGTTTATGGTGGATATTAAGTGTAACCGTGTTTGTAAATCAAAACACAAAGTGCTTCAAAGGAAACTAGAGAAGACGGCTGTTAAGAACTACTAAAAGCAAGCAGTACTTCTGTTGAGAATCAAGACTTTTTAACTTCTATTTTTCTATATGTTGTAATTCTTCATGATGACACATATTTTAATGCTCAAAAGCAAAACTTCAATGACACTGAAATTATTGGCAGCCAACGTTTCTACCTATGCTGTCAAGCAGAGAGATGACTGACGGCAGTCACGGGTGTGTATATCCATGTGCCTCTTCACCTAAGCATGCTCAATGGCCATCAGAATGGACATCGAGTTTTCAGAACAGGTAAGGAAGTATCCACAAGTTCAAATGTGCAAAGAAAAGTACTGATGGCAACACAGCTGGAAGGATCTGTGACAGTTGTCCAACCAAACGTACAATCCCTTACCACAGAAAGGGATGGGTTAGAAGGACAGAGATGAGATGCTGTCTCGTCAGGACTCAGATTCATGGCATGCCTCTTCAGCCCAAATGAGGACTTCTGTGTCTTGCTTAGTCATTGGCAAATTCATAGAATAACTGCACCCAACACCCAATCCTTGTAATAAAGGAGGAGCAAGCCAGACACACCATCTCTATGTCTGCAAGGCCCCCTTTCTCCTTCTTCTCAGACATCTCTTGACATGCTAGTTTTGAACTGCTCTCTCCTTTTAAATCATCCTCATCATTATAACCATATATTAATTAATGAATCAATAAAAATAGATGAAACAAATCTTTTGTTTAGGGATATTTTAATAAAACCTTTCTGTGTGTATCTTTACACACCAGGTCTCCTAAAATCAAGGAGTACCTGCACTTTGCCATTTTATGAAAATGACATTTTAAGTAATCCCTATAATGATGAAACAATTTTTATAGTATCCTTGCTCCACCTCGGAAATCTATGGTCTTGGCCAATAACCACATCCTTTCCTAGTGTTGTGTGTCCCAGTCTTGAAGGGAAGAAAAATCCAGACAAATTGCGCCTCCAGATCTCTGGTCGGGAGTGGAGGTTCCAAGTCACTCTCTGCACTCAGGACATGGTACTGATGCAGGCTCACTGTTGCGAATGCATCATGCACCTGCTGCTTTGGATGCTCACACCTGGAAGGTCCTCTCCCACTGCCCAGGAGACAAGCCTCTTACTAATGTCCCCACTCCACCAAAATTGTTCATTACATCACTTTCTGTAAGAGTTTACTATACAATGTTTTCTCTCTGATATATTCTCTAGTGTTTCTCTGGACCCAAGGAGTCTCTCAGCTACAATTTAGAACAATGCATAGTTATTAGTACCAGGTTTAAAGTGTAGGCTTGCCCTTGAAAGCCTTTTATGTCCGATGAAAATCTTGGGATTTGTATAATTACTATAATTCTGTGATTAAAACCATCTTGGTTTTGATGTTCAGGCACCTTGCTGTTTTTAATGAAATCTCTCAGACAAGCTCATTCCAGCCAAGTATTAAATTATCAGTGAGGACATGTTATCACATTATTCTGCCATTTAAAAGGCTTTTATTTTAAATACGTTGTCATTACAGACAAAATAAGAAAATCAAAAAACAAAGAAATGGAACATTCAACACAATTTATTGTGCTGTGAGAACTAAAGAGATGCAATCATGCTAACAAATTTTAATGGAATAAATGTTACATTTGCTTAATGGATTGAGGGCATGTTGGTTTAACTGGAGGAACTCATTAAGACTACAATTAGGACAATTAAAACTAGGGCAGTGGTGACACACGCCTTTAATCCTAGCATGACGGAGGCAGAGGCAGGCAGATCTCTGAGGTTGACTCCAGCAAAGTCGATAGTGAGTTCCAGGACAGCCAGAGCTATGTAGAGAGACCCTGTCTCAAGCAACAGCAAAAAAAAAAATTAGCAGAGAATTAAAACTACAGGCTACCTGTTATACTCATAAGTACTTTGCTGACAAGTACTGGGGGTTGTGGTGAAATGACTCAGTGGGTAAAGGCACCTTCCTCCAAGTCTGGTCCTGATGCCTAGGACCCATATGGTAGAATGAGGAAACCAATTTTCATATATTTTGTGTATGCACATACATATATATGCATAAACAAATAAACTATGTTTTAGCATCTAGTTACTGAGGCTTTGAAAATTCATTAGGTTACTTGAACTCCATTCATCATAGAAAAAGAGAAAAAAAACAGCAATAAAACCAAGATATTTTGTGAAACAAAAGACTTTTTCAGTTTTCATCAACAGGCAAAGTAACAGGTTTAGCTGCAGTATTTTCATGCTCACTTGATTGGTTTAACCCAGTCATTCATCTCGTCAACTTTCATCTCCTCTCCCCACTGTGGCTTTCAGTGTCCTCTATAGTAACACACACATGTGCTCTATCACCAGTGTCCTCTATAGTAACACACACGTGTGCTCTATCACCAGTGTCCTCTATAGTAACACACACACATGTGCTCTATCACCAGTGTCCTCTATAGTAACACACACACATGTGCTCTATCACCAGTGTCCTCTATAGTAACACACATGTGCTCCATCACCAGTGTCCTCTATAGTAACACACATGTGCTCCATCACCAGTGTCCTCTCCAGTAACACACACGTGTGCTCTTTCCTCCTCTTCACCTTCATCGAAACCTCTTTACATGGCCACACTACCAAAATTAATGTACAGATTCAATTTCTATCAAAATTCAAATGACATTTCTCATAGAATTAGTGTTGGGGAGGGGAACATCCTAAACTTCATATGGGAACACAGAGATCACAGATGGCCAATGAATCCCATGCAAAAAGAATGGTGCCTGAGTTACCGGAACATGTGATTTCAAACTATAGCACAAAGCCATCATAACAACTGAAGCTGTCATAAGCACAGACATGCAGACCATGGAACATAAATTGGACCCAAAAATGAGCCCTCATAGCTATGGACACCAAATTTTTGACAAAATTGTCACTGGAAACACCCAGCTTATTTAATAAATGATGCTTTAAAAACCAGATACTAACATGAAGAAGAAAGATGGTATCAGTATGGTATCTCTCACCTATTCAAAAAAATTAACATGGACATTAAATTTAAGTGAACAAAGATTAAATTAAAACTTGAAATGCTGAACTCACTAGAAATAAACATAGAAAACAAACCCCAGAGATAGGCAAAAACTTCCTGGATACAATCCTAAAAGCCCAAAAATAGCCTCCGGAATTAACAACTATTATTATATGAACTAGGAGACCTCACAGCAAAGAAACTTCTCAGAAGACTGAACAGACTATAGAATGGAAGAGCAGACATTTAGGAAGAAAAAACTGGATGCCAAAAACTGCTACCAACGCACTGGCTATGTTTTTCTTTGCAAAATGTTGGCAGCAGACAATGCATCAGAAACAACATTCTATGTCCTTTAACAGACACGATTTCTTCATGTTTCTAGGAATCTAATCTGTAATCAAACACAGTAACCGGTGATAGTGCAGAGGCTGAAAGGCAGGTGTTTGATTGCTGCAGTCAGGAAACACTCATCCTTCGTGCTCTTGCTTCTGTGGCAAACCCAGGCATTTCACCTAGCCCCACAGTCTGCCATTCTTAGAGTGGCTGTCACTTTACCAGCTTTGCCCCCTTTCAGAAGGACACTTCAGTAGGACACACGTGGACCAGTGGGACCGTGGAGGCACAACACAATCTCTGCTCTTGGCAGAGGAGTTGGAGAATTAGAGTTAATGTGCATCGGGTGTTTACTGTCTTGCAGATGGAAAGGACCGTGCAATTACCAAGCACTTTTATACACTCGACATGACAGTAAAAATATAGCTCTAAGAGATCACAGTCACACTATGCTATTGTTTTAAAGCCTTAGACAAGGCACTCAGATTTTCAGCCTAGCTAAGTCTCTCACGAGCTCTATGGGACAGGGAGGGAATGTGGAGGAAGAAGACAACCCTGTCATTACGTGATTTGTG